GAGGAAGCACAAGCAAGTCTATCTCCCGAGTGTTCAAGAGCTATTTTCTATATTATCTAGATTATAAACACCACAGAAGAGCACAGAAAGAGGTGTTTTTCCCTTTCATAACATCTATTCTTGCTGTTACTTTTATATTTTATTTCCTAGAACCTCTTCTTCTTTCAGTGCTCAGCCAGCTGCTAAGAAAGCTGGCAGAAAGCTAAGAAAGTATTGAATGCCACAGCAAAAACCCAAATAAATTGCTTCTTCACTGCCTGTTTCTCATCTTGTGAGCACTTCCAGCAACTTGAAAATAAAGAGACAAAAGCAGTGCTACACTGATGCTCTTCTTGGAATCTGCTTTTTGAACTTGCAGTGTTTTGTGTCCTGTGAGCTTCAGCTTCAACTCAAGTCTCTCTTTGATCCTCCCTTCCCTCCATTCTCAAACCTTCAACCCAAGTCCAGCACATTTTCTGGAGGAACACACAGTAACATGCTGTGATCCTGTTCCTATACTGCATCTAACATAGTCCATGGAATTTCCCAGGCACAGCCACTGGACACAACCTGGGGGAAGACCTTAGAGCCCCTTTCAGTGCCTAAAGGGGCTCCAAGAGAGCCAGACAAGGTCTTTGGACAAGGGCCTGGAGGAACAGAACAAGGGGGAATGGCTTCCCACTGCCAGAGGGCAGGGTTAGATGGGATATTGGAAAGAAATTCCTCCCTGTGAGAGCGGTGAGGGGCTGGGATGGAATTCCCAGAGAAGCTGTGGCTGCCCCATCCCTAGAAATGTCCAAGTTCAGGTTGGACAGGGCTTGGAGCAACCTGGAATAGTGGAAGGTGTCCCCACTCATGGCAGGGGTGTAATGAGATGAGCTTTGAGGTCCCTCCCAACCCAAACCATTCTGGGATTCTATGGCAGGGTCAGAGCCCCTCTGGGCCAGCTCCCTGTCCAGCCATGAGGAGATCCTCCCTTCCAGCAGCGAGCCCCTCCCACACAGACCATGCTCTTGGTTCCTGGCTTTTGTTTCTTTTCCCTCTCCACACTAAGCAAGACCAATCCAAAAGGATATTATGCCAATAATGAGAAGCACTGGGAAGTTATAGCAAAGCTGTAACCTCTGATTATTTTCCTTGTAAGAAACTCTTTATGACACTGTGAGTCTGCATTAAGAGAGGATGCTTTAAGGTCTAATACTCTGCATTAGCTTAAAGAAATTAATAGAAAAACCCAACATGAGCCCACTTTCTCAGCTCATGTGAGTTACTGTCACTGCAGAGACAGCAAATACAGCCACATTTGCTAAACTAGCAGCAATTTGCCCCAGAATTGCCAGTACTTGGCCTTCAGCACAAATCCTCATCCACCCAACATCTCTAGTTGCTCGCTATTAACCTACACACACATCTCCCACACAGCAAAGGGCAGTTTCCTGTGCCCAGAGAGCAATGCCCAGGTGCAGAGGGAATTTAATATGTGGAGAGAGAAGAGGAAGGTTTGATTGTCCAACTCTTTAACTTCATTGAGGATGGTCTTTAACTGCAGAGATGTGACCAACAGGACCAGGACAGTGACCATACCCCTGTCCCTGGCACTGATGAGGCCACATTGAATCCTGGGGTCAGTTCTGGGCCCCTCACAACAAGAGAGACACTGAGGGGCTGGAGCGTGTCCAGGGAAGGGAACAGAGCTGGGGAAAGGTCTGGAGCACCAGGAGCAGCTGAGGGAGCTGGAGGAGCTTAGCCTGGAGGAAAGGAGGCTCAGGGGGGACCTTTTGGGTCTCTGCAACTCCCTGACAGGAGGGTGGAGCCAGGTGGAGGTTGGGCTCTGCTCCCAGGGAACAAGGGACAGGACAAAAGGAAAAGGCCTCAAGTTGTGCCCAAGGAGGTTCAGGTTGGATATCAGGGAAATTTTCTTCCTGGAAATGGCTGTCCAACCCTGGCACAGCTGCCCAGGGTAGTGTTGGAGTCCCCATCCCTGGAGGGATTTAAAAGCCATGTGGATATGGCACCTGGGGACATGGGTCAGTGGTGGACTTGGCAGTGCTGGGGAATGGTTGGGCTTGATGGTCTCAGTGTCCCCCATCCTCTGGTGACACAGTTGTACCTCCAGACTGTTCCACTCCTCAATTGCCAACAGCCACTTTGATAGCTCAGGCAGCAGCTGTTCCACCCCACAGGAAACCATTAGTTAAAATCAGGGGAAAAAAATAAACATAAGGACAGTCAGGAAACTGGGAAGGACATAAAGAGCTCAGACTTGGCCAGGGCTCCTCAAGGATTTCACCTTCAGGGTCTGACCCCTAACTACTCAGAGGAGGCTCCCCTGCCTATGAAAACCCAGAAGCACAGTTCCCCTCCACCGATATGTGTCACCAATTTATCTCACCCTTCTCCTTCACAAGGAATTCGGGTCTCTTTTTCCAACTGAAATGTGCTCTACCACTGCCCATTTTGGGTGTTTCAACTTCGGCATCATTTGTGGGAGGATTCTGAAATATTTATAATATGAATCTATTCTCTACTTGAAAGAAAAAACAACAAAACACAGGGGTGGGTGGTGGTTTTTCCTTTCTCCTATTAAGCCAAAATCCCAGCCATCTTATTTTCTTGTCTTTCTCTTACACTGCTCCCTAATCCCCCCTCAACTATCCATCTTCAGACTGCTCCCTAATCCCCCTCCCACTCCAACCATCCATCTTCAGACTGCATGAAAGATAAATCATGTCCCACCATTCATGAGCAACTTCAATTACCAAATCGCTGGAATTCACAAGCCCACCTGAGGGGTGGATGTGGTTCTTTAAGCTTTTGTGATTTCATACTTGGCAAAGAAAAATGGCTTTGCAGCAAACTGATAGAAATTAGACATTTATCAGCATAAAGTGTTCATATGAACAAGGCAGACACAAGGTTGGAGTTCAGAGCATCACACTCAACATAGGGGTTTTTTTAATTTCTTGTGAAGATTTAGGACCCCCCACCAAAAAGTCCTTATTAAACAAAGAAGGTATTAAAAAATATCCTATAAACACAATTCAAGGGCCACATTAAGGCCTCATGTTTGTTGCTGCTTAAGTGTCAATGGTGTTGTTTCCAGCACCTGTAAAATTTGGGCAGTGAGAGTGAATTAAAAGAAGCAAACTCTGGTTAATACAGATCTCTAAACCATCAGCTTCCAGATCCCACAGACATCCTTGATCAAGCCCCTGCGTTTAAGGGAAGAACATCCTAGAAATTGATAGAGGCCTTTAATACAATTAATGCTCTTGGACAGAATCGTAGTAGCTGGATTGTGGAAATCCTAATATTGCACAAAACCTGTAAATAAAGGTATTTTCTGGCTGTCCATGAGCACTTTTTTTTTTTTGCTCAGCAGGGAGAGGACAGGCTTGAAGAAAGCAAAGAGAATGACTGCAACAGCTACACTGAGATTATACACCAAGATGATGTGAGACAAAGCCTTGGCTTGACACCTGCCTGGGTGTGAACACTCCCTCCCACAGCACTCCTGTCTCCAGTCCCTGCACTTCTAGGAACGCATCCAGATAATGGCTTTGATGATAGGTATTAAACTGCCCACAACATCTAACCATCCCAGCAGATGGAAGAATCCAAACCACTGGAACACAGCAGCCTACTGTGAGTAAGGAGCTGCTGGCACATCCTGTGATTACGAGTAATTGCAGTAGAGATATCGTGGCAGCAAATTCAAACACATTTCTGAAGTCCAGGAGTAAAAAAAGTTAAAAAAACAAAGACAAGCCCTAAAAGAATCTTGAAAACAATTCAAATGGCAAGGCTGGGGAGGGAGGAAAACATGACTCTCCACCCTGCAAGTGTTCACAGACAGGCTGGATGAGGCTTCAAGCAACCTGGACTAGTGGAAGGCATCCCTGCCATGGGTTGAAATGAGATGAGTTTTAAGGTCCCTTCCAGTCCAAACCAGTCTGAGATTCTATGAGTTTTATCACGGAGAAATTAAAACAAAAATCAAAGTAAGACTCTCCCCACCTAAGCTCAACCACAATTCATTAGGGTTTTTTATTCCCTGGAGAAGAGGTTATCACATTAAAACAAAGATGATGTGCTTGTGGAGTGCCTTGGGCCCACCCTGTCCTTCATGGAATAGTACAGGAGTTTTTATTGGGAACTCTAGTGATAGGGTAAAGAGCAATGGGTTCAAACCCTGTGAGTGTGGTGAAGCCCTGGCACAGGTTGTCCAGAGAAGCTGTGGCTGCCCCATCCCTGGAAGTGTCCAAGGCCAGGTTGGACAGGGCTTGGAGCAACCTGGGCTAGCGGAAGGTGTCCCTGCCCATGGCAGGGACTGGAACAAAATGGGCTTTAAGGTCCAACCCAAACCATTCCAGGATTCTATGATTCCATGCTACAAGATCACCCTGCTCTAACTAGTGGACATCATATGTGGTCTCCCACAACCAAACAGGGTGTTTCCCTGGACAAGTCTGAGCTTTAGAAGTTCTCTGTAAAGGCCGTGAATGTTCATGGAGATGTGCACAGCCAATGAACCAGGACCAGAGCCAGTTCCTTCTGAGGGACCACTTCAAATCCATCAGATGGGTACTCTCGATTCCTGGCCATCCAGGCAAATTTGAACCTGTGATTTAGAGGTGAAGAGCTCTCTATCCCATTACCAGCCATAAAGACCATCTGGTCCCTTTACTCCCTGATTAAAAAAAATGGTGCATGCAGTGCATCATCTACCAGAATTAATCCAACTCAGTTTGACGAGTGCTTTTCAGAGGAGGGGGGCAAAAAAAAAAAAAAAGAAAAAAAGTAAGGATGATTCTTGGAAATAAGTCAGTTGGGGAAAGATCCCAAAGCACCCCATCCATTTTAGCTTCGGAACAAGCTTTGTCCCTTGGCAGGGGGTGAGGCGCTGGATGCCTCCATCCCACCGCCCGCGCGTGGACAAAGGGCCCTCTATTGTCCCCGGCCGCCACCCCCAGGCCGGCGGGGCCCCCCCACTATCGCGACAGAGCCCGCCCCGCCCGTACCTGAGCTGTCCATGGTGCTGCCGCCCTCGGCGCGGGGCTGCGGCTGCTGCTGCTGCTGCCGCCCGGGGCTCCGGCCCGGCCCCGGCCCCGCCGCGCCGGCCCCGCCGCGCTCAGCACCGCTGTCCACGAGCTGCAAGGATTCATAGCCGTCACCGCCCGGCTTTTTCCGGTAGCTCCCGAGCAGGCTCATGGGCGAGCCGGGCGCGCCGGGAGCTGCTCCGGCGCCGCGGGCAGGCAGGGAGGGAGGGATGGAGGGAGGGAGGGAGGAGGGATGGAGGGATGGAGGGAGGGGACGGAGAGCGCTCCGGCCGCCCCCATGGGAGGGGAAGGGCGGGACCGGACCCCCCCGCACCCCCCGCCCCGCCGGAAGCGGGCGGGGAGGACGCGGCGCCCGGGAGAAGCATCTTGCGATGGATGGAGCGGCCGCGTCCTCCCCCACCGCCAGCTGCTGCGAGCCATCAGTGAAAGGAAAAGTGCGGGGCTGACACCATTTCCTTCTCCGGGCGGCACGCACAGCCCGCTCCCCGGAGCGGTCCTTGGGCTGCACATCTGGCACGGGGAGGTTCTCAAACAGGGATCGGCATTAAGAGCTTTCTGTCACACCGGGGAAAGGTGCGTTCCCTGGGAGTGGGCCAAGGTCACCGAGTTCCGGGCTGACACCGCCAGTTCTGCAGTCTGAAGAAGGAGGGATGGCACAGCAGTGTTACACTGAGACTCCAAAATCCTAAAGAGCAGTTTAACACCATGGCTGGATGAGTAACCAGAGAGGGTCTTGGACCACAGCGCTGTATCATGATGGGCTACATGGGATGATGCATCAGCATCCCGAGCCCCAGCCTGTGCCACTGCTAGCTTCAAACTGGTGTCACCCAGCTGAAGAAGCTGCCACCTTCTGCTAAGCCATTTTTGTTGTTCTCACCAACCTATTTTTAGCTCTTCACATGCAAACAGATTCTAGACTAACACAGAGTGTGGCTTTGGACAACTGATGAGTTGTATCTTGCTTGTTTGCATTTTGCAGCCAGGGCTTGTAGATCATAATTTCATTTTGCGCAGAAGAGAGGAACTGAGGGATGCTCCAAAGGAAATGGCCACTATTTAACTCTTCTAAATGGATTTCATTTTAATATAAGGAAAAATAAAGGCTAAAGGAAGCCCTGGCATCCAGACATGAGCATGCCATCAATCTCTTGCAGAAAGGAATGTCCTTTACTGAGAAAAATACTGTGGATTTGCTTCTAAAATAATAACACCAATAAACAAAGCCAGGTTGGACAGGGCTTGGAGCAACCTCGTCTAGTGGAAGGTGTCCCTGCCTATGGCAGGGGATTGGAATAAGTCCAACCAAATAAGGTCCCTTTCAACTCAGTACTTGCAATATCCATAACTTGAAATGTCACTGACACTTGGCTTAAACTTTTCTGCTTAACCCTGCGAGGCAGTGGACATCTGGTCCAGCCATACCTTGTCATGTGCTATTGTTTATGTAACTCCTGAGATTTCGTGTTGCGGAGCAGACAAGGTACATCTGTGACCCAGAATTTTCCCAGAAAAGCCCGAGCAGATTTACAAGCAGCAAACTAAAATGAACTAACCTGACGTAAATGTTTGCAGTCAGGAGCAGTAACAACTTGAACTCAAGGTTGGGATTCTGAGTTTTCTACCCCTCATTACCAGGCTCAATACCTTAGTCTGTACAGAGCAAAACATGGATTGCAACTCTTAACAGTAGGAATGGGTCTGACTCCCTCTTTGCACCCACATGCAGCAAGCTAATAAAGAAAAAATGAAATCACAGGTATTTTCTGCGCTATTTTCTAATTCGAAGCAACTTGGTCTGCTGGAAGGTGTCCCTGCCCATGGCAGGGGGTTGGAACAAGGTCTTTAAGGTTCAACCCAAACCATACTAGAATTCTGTGATTTTTACTAGAGATCATCTCTGTTTGTCTCTACTGGTCAATTCAGGATATGACAATTCCTGTGCTCTGGGCTAAAAATGGGAAATTTGAGGTTTCAGGAGGATTTTCATGCATTTTGCTTGTGCAGATAACAGCCTAAACACAACAAAATAACCTCTGAAAACAGGGGGCATGTGAAGGCTGGGTAAAATTTCCATGAGCACCCAAGCCCACTTGCACTGGAAGGAAGTGCAACCTTAGAGGGAATGACCTGGGGAATCTGGCACAACACAAACCCTGCACAACCTATCCCATCTTAAACCATCACCTGTGGTCTCCAGCGTGCTCTGCTGCCTCTATCCACCAGCTCCAGAAGCTCAGCTTAGGCAAAACTCAGTATCCTAAATCCAGAAATCATCTCTCACTGGTGAGCAGGAAGGGTCTGTCTGCACTGGGCAACAAAAGGGAAGTCCAACTGAAAATGTTCTCATGGAATAAGGGTACAGGAAAGAGGAGAGGTTCATTCCAGCAGAAATTACAGCTCACCCTTCTCTGAGCACCATAAGAGGTCTGGAATTTTTACTCCTCCAGCCACAGTCTTGTTGTCAGTACCCGTTGACAATGAGCCTCACAGCACATCTGGCTCTACCTTCCTGACCCAATGTTTGTACCACCATCATGTCTGAGAGGCAGAGCACAGTTATACTTAAAAAGAAAAAATATTACTCCTTGTTGAATCCATTATTAATTCTTTTCCTTACACATTTGCCCCAGATTTTGGGGGATCATGTCTGTCTTTCCCTCCAAGGAGTCCCAAATACAAATCACTGCCATAGCGTGAAGCTCCAGCCTGGAGAAAGAGGGTTCTGAAAGCAACAAACAGGGACAGAGCAGCCTCTCCAGGGGACCTTGGGGCAGAGGAGGGAGAAGGAAACAGACCTCAAAGTCACACCCTTGCTTGTAATTGCCATTGGTACAAACACGAGGAGATGGGATTAGGGAAGCCTGTTGGGTGAGATTCAGCGGAAGCTGTGCTTATCCATTCTAGCCCTACGGGAAGTTTAGCTGAAGAGAATATATAAAGCAATATTCCTCTCTCCCCCATTTCTCCCTTTAAGTTGGGCTCACGAAGGGCCACGTGGTTTCTCTCTCTCAGAGATCTCCAGTATAAAAAATACTATAGCAAAAAAACCCAAACCACAAGCAAAGTACATGTTGAACTGCACATGACTTTCAAAAGTGAGGAAGGAAGAGGTAGGGAATCAGCTCCTCAGAATTATTCATTGCCCTCCTTGCAGATATATTGATTGGTGGCTGATGCCACGACAGACTATAGATGAGCCATGATTGAGTGGCAGGGCTGGCAGGGGCCACAAGGGCTGGGGGAGACATTAAGGACATGCTAAGGAGGATTATGTGTTGCTCAGGTCTCAAGAGATACAAACCCTCCCTGTTACTGACCTTGGAAAAAATTGATTTGCCAACCTCTACCTCGCTGTTTTGCTCTGTCTGGGTTGCAGCCTCTCCTGGGTACAGTCTCTCTTCATAGCTGTAATCAAGCACCAACTGTACTGAGGTGCAATTTTATTTTCTCCACCTCTCCTCCAATTAGCTGAACAGTTCAGGTGAAATATTACACTCTTAATTCTTCATGAACACAATTAAGCTGGGGGGCTGTTGTTAGAATTAAAAATATAGCTTGAAAATTAATTTTATATCTGGAGCAATGCCTTTAAAACTCGCTATAGTGAACATTTGTTCCAAAGATACCCCACTGTGAGTGCTGAACTCTCCCTGCACAAGGTGTTTCTGCAAGAAGTCCAGGTGTATGTGCATAGAGTCATAGAATCACAGGATCATGGAATGGTTTGAGTGGGAAAGGAACCTTGAAGATCACCTAGTTCCAAACCTCTGCCATGGGCAGGGACACCTTCCACTAGACCAGGTTGCTCAGAGCCCTCAGAGCCTCAGAGTTACAGAATCACAGAATCACAGACTGGTCTGGGTTGGAAGGGACCTTAAAGCTCATCTTGTTCCACCCCCTGCCATGAGCAGGGACACCTTCCATGTGTTTTGTGAGTTGTACAGCAAGGATCACACTTCCTTCCCTCTCATCTGGAGGCTTCATTTATGATTGGGCAGTGCCACGGGCTGCCCAGGAGCATCAATCCCCCTGCACTCCTCTGGGAACAGGTATGTGGCAGCAAAACGGGTCCAGGCTCTTGGTACTGGGCCAGAAATATGATTTCAAACCAGCGTCTGGGCTTGTGCTGGGGATAGTAAGTATTATCTGGACTGGAATCAAAGATGGCCATGTGGTCCCTTTCTCTGGATGTAGGAATATGTCCCTGCCTGGAGTTGCTGGAGGAATAAGAAGCTGTCACAGCCTGCCCAAGAGCAGCATAGTGTTCCCAGTATGGGATGTGGTGTGCCAGGGGTAAACAGGGCTAGTGTGTGAGGATTCATGTGGAAATGAAGGTGGGTTAAATGACCTAATCCCTTAGTAACCTGCCATGATGTTCAGGAACTTCCAATCTGGGTCTTCCTGTCTTGTTCATCTCCAACAAAAAGCAAACAGGCCTCTGAGATGGTTTGAGTTGGTTTTAAGCATTAGACTCAATTTAACCTTTGTTTTCCTTCATTAGCAGAAGCCTCGAGCCTTTGCTGCAGTGAAACCCAGCACAATGTCAGTGCCTGGCTGGCAGCTGGAGCTTCAGCTGCTCAAGTGTCCCCACTGAGGATGACTTAGGATGTGACAAGTGTTCGGCTCTCTCTCCATCTTCTCTTCTATCCTTTCCTCTCCGTGAGAGCCCACACCATGAAGTGTAGTGCTGTGTCAGCATATTTTTTATTTCATGCCTTTTAGTCTTGTTAAAGTGCTGTCAGGGATGACTTACTCATTCCAGCCCAAGACTTTGTTTCGGAGTATTCAAGGATTTTCCTGGCTCCTCAGCAATGCTGAGCTGCAGAACTGCTTGCCAAGGGCTGTTGGAGATGCTAAAAATGTACATGGTTCACAAAGAAAGAGGATAAATGTATGGGAAACGGATCTATAAGAGGCCGTTAAATAGGAACTGTTGGCTCAGGAAGTCCCTGTTGGAAAATTGGAGGCTGCATAGCCATTCAAAACTCAGGTATTTCAGTAAAAATCAGATATTTTGTGGCCTAACTACCATTTATTCATCATTTCCCATTCACTGTGAGGTAAGTGGTTAAATCCTAAGAAAAATCTGGGCATTGGGTGTTGTTTGCATTGGAAAATAGCCGTTGGTAAAAACAGGGAGAAAAATTATACAACCAAGTGTCATCCTGGGGTTGCATCAGCTCCAGCTGCTGTGCTCAGGGTCAGGCTCCAGCAGCACATAACTTAATGAAAATGGTCAGGTCGTAGCTCTCAGGTAGCTCCAAACAAGGATCTCTCAATGAAAGCAGTTTTTCCATGAAAACAGAGGGAAATCACAGCTGGCACTGCCTGCACATGCTGAAGACTGTCACCCACCTCGCCCACTCCCATGGTTATTGCACTTTAGGATGTATGGGATGAGAGTTTCCAGGGGAGGAATGGGCCAGGGGAAACATCCTCACTCCAGGTTTCAATGGGACAGATTGTCTTAGATGGATACAGAAGAGAGGTCATAAGGGACAGGGTGGAGAGGTACAGGTGAATCTGATGGCACAGGAGGGTTGGCCAGAAACACAACACCTCCCTACTAATGTGGTTCTACTATCTGCCAGAATTTGGTAGCACAATTTTTATCTAATACTAATGGGAAAAATTATATTATTGGGGCTTTGTTGTTCTGACTGCAATATAAAACATTTAAAAATTATGTCTGTCTCAGCTCATGCAATCTGCATCATTCTGAGGCAGTTTGGGTTCAGATTTATAACACTCATCGTTTCCAGAGTGATACTCAAGCAGACTCCACAAGGCTGATGTGCTGTCGCCCACGGTGGTGGTTCAATCCGTGTGGTTCTCTGCAGTTTGGGATGTGGTTCAAGGGGAGAGATACCCAGTTGCATTGGGGTGTGAATAGATTGCAACTGGCACAGGTTGCCAGGAGAAGCTGTGGCTGCCCTATTCCTGGAAGAGTCCAAGGCCGGGTTGGACAGGGCTTGGAGAAACCTTGGATAGTGGAAGGTGTCCCTGCCCATGGCAGAGGGTGGAACGAGATGAACTTTAAGGTCCTTTACAACCCAAACCATTCCAGGTTTCTATGGCTTTGGATACAGGATGCCAGAAATCTTGTCCTCAGGGACATCACAGCCCCTTGGAGCCAGGCAGGGATAAGGCTGGGGATGGACACCTTCATCCTTCTCATGGTGACCAGGGCAGGTAACAAACCCCACTTTGCTGTTTCCCACAGCACTGACTGAGTCAGGCTCTTGTGGATCCCACAGCTTGGTCCCTCATCTGGGAGCGCACTCCTGGAATGCCTTCAAGACACAAAAGCTCCATGGACACACAGATGAATTGTGCTGACTCAGCAGAAAGCAATATTGCAGGGGCTGGTCTGCACCACGTGGCTTTGGAATAATTACACTGTGTGGCTCCCAGGCTGGGAGTTGTGTGTGGTTGTGCTTCAGTTTAAATACCTGCAAAAATCTGTCAGGGTGGAAAAGAAATTCCAGGAGGAAATGTGTGCCGAGAGGAAATGGGAGAGCCTGGTGCATCCCACCCCACTGTGCCTGGATAAGAGACCCATACATAGATATCAAACCACAAGGAAACCTCTGCTAGCCGAGAACAAACTGCTCTATCTGGAAAGTTTTCCACGAAAACTATTACTTGGAAAAGGAATTCAAATGGGTGTTGGGTCATTTCTTTTTGCTTTACACATGGTTTGGGAAAGGGAATAAATTCCCAAGTTTCCTGTATGGCAAAAATCCCATTTCAGAGGGTTTGGAGCAAATCCTGGTCCTTGTCTCAGTCTCCCTGCCTGATTTTGTTCTCCATGCCCAATTTCTCCATGTCTCTGCTTCCCAGCCATAATTCAGGGATGTAAATGATATAATTTCCCGTCTTCATTATTTCTGGCTACTGGAGACAAGGATTTATTCAGTAGAAAGAAATCCATATGTTGTTTAAAGTGCCTATCAAACAGGGCCTCATACACTATTGGGATGTAAACTACTGTAAGAGCTCATAAAATATTTTTTATAGTTCAGTATAATAATACTTAAAATTATGATAAAATACTAAAAATACTATAAAATATTAATTTAATAGAAATATTAGCATAAAGCATTAATTATTTATACTTTCATATAAATAATAAACTATTATTTATAGCATTTTAATGTGAAGAGCTTCCCACGGCTGCTTTGTCCACCCCTGAAGAAGCTTTTATAATCTAATTTTTACGGCAGATGGGAATTACAATATCTCTGTCTGGTACAGGCACAGCTGGGATTTCCAGACCTTGTTCCCCCAAATCTGAGCACTATGAGATGCCACACATCCAGCAATGATCAGACTCCCCATGAGAAGCTCTGTAGCAGCTTCTGACATCTCCTGATCTCTGGAGCATCCCATCATCTCTGGAGCTTTGGCAGGGCTGGGTTAATGGTTGGACTCAATGATCTTATAGGTCTCTTCCACCCTGAATGATTCTGTGATTCTGGGAGAGGAGCAGCCACCGCTTTGGGCCCAGCTGTTCATTGTGGATGGGTTATATCCTTTCCTACATCCCTCTCATGCTGACGGTGCTAATTCCCTTCACAAGGTGATTTTCAGCCACCTGATCGGAGCTGGGGCTGTGGTAAAACCCACAGTGTCAAGCCCCAGCAGTCCAATTTTCACCCCAAAACCTAGGTGGCACATCTGGGTACCAATCTCTCCATCCCCACGATCCAACGATTCCCTTTTGCTCATACTCCACAGGCTGCTACCATATTTTTACAGCAAAGCAGGATGGATTTTAGCAAATCCTGCCCCAAAAATCCAGCTTTGAGCACTGGCAGGCCGCGGGTGCAGTGGGAGGCCCCGGGATTAGGCTGCAGCAGGGTAAAGCCGCCGGCACGGCAGATTAGTTGGGTCAGCAATTAAACATTGGCACTTACGCTGCCGGCAAAAACCGGGCTCAAGGACAAAATCAGTTCCTCCTTAACGGCTGCAGCCACTCCAAAATGCTGCATCTATCAGCTGGGAGCATTTCTGGGATCATAAACAAGGTGGCTGTGTCACGGTTGGCTAAATATAGTGCCACCCGGGTGGCCGCCGTGCCGCCTGTGCCACCGGAATTGCTGGGTACACTGATTTTATTTTTTTTCCTTAGGGATGGCTATGACTAACAGAAATACGTGGCTGGAGGGATAGCAGAAGATGGAGGCCCTGGTCCAAATGCAGGAGAATAAAGTCTGGAGTTTGCACACCTGATCAAAATATCCCTCACCTTCCTCCTCCTCCTCCCTCTCCTCCTCCTCCTCTCCTTGGCAGTATCCAAAACAAGACTATAGTAACAACAGGCACAAGTACACCGGCAAGACATGAAATATGTCCTGGTTTAAAGTCACAGTGCTCCCGTGGTGATGCCAAGGGGGATAAACACCTACCTGGAGCTGCAGGGGGCAGAAAGCCCCCACAGCCACGCCGTCCCTGCTGTCCCCTCCCAGAGCACCCGGCTGGGGCTGGCTCAGCAGGACCACAGCAAAGGCAGGGATGTCTGCATTTAGCTACATATTTGAGCTCTTTTTTTGGCCTGAAAAGGAGTTTTTAAAGGCAATGCAGCTCCGTGCTTGCCTCAGCATAACAAAATGGGGGGGTTGAAGGTCAGCTTTGCGGGGGATTCGCAGCAAAAGGCATTTCTGTACCGACATCTCCACCAACCCCCCTCTTGCAAGAGGGACAGTTCTGTCCACATAGACGCTATATAAGTAATAATCCATTACACTTATTATTTTAAGCCTGAAAAATCACCTTTTTTTAATTCAATCAGCCTAAATAGCTCTCACCGCCCTAAATGCACAAACCCCTATTTTGGGGTGCAAGAAGAGATGCTCATGTTCCTATCGAGGTCTGCAGAGCCGGCGGCATTCAGGGTTATCAAACCCTCCATGCCCAGGTGTACCTTCCCAAATTTCAGCACCTTCCCATCAGGTGCTGCCCTGCCAGCAGAAGCAGTTTTCTGTGCAATTCCTTCCCTCAACCCTATTATATAATCAGGCTTTAAAGCAGGGGGGTTTTTTGCTTTATCCAGAGCTGCGGGATCCCACCGTGTCTTCTCGGTGATTACTCAGCACAAATGTGCCGTAAACAACATCCCCAAATTTGCTCGCGCCCCGTCTCTCTGGTCTTCCATGGAAATCTCATGGAAGCTTTGCTTACCTTGTTCCTCAGCCCCGTGCATCCTCCTCTCCTGGCTCCTGCACAGCGATGGGGAGCCCGGCCGTGTCCCGCACGCCGGTTTTCCGCTCGTCATCCAGCGGCAATCCCGGGTCACGGGGCGACGGCCATGGGTTGGGACGCTGCTGCTGCCTGGGAACTGCGCGACGCTACGGGGCCCTGCTGGGTTATTTTTGGGATTACAGAGACTCAGGAAAGGATGAGGATGGAGGCAGACATATCATATCGTCTAAAATGTGGCATGGATTAGGATCTGGAGTCTGCAGGTCTGAGCCACCCAGCACAAACCTCAGCCACCTTTTTTTTTCCTTTTCTCTAAATTTTTTTTTTTTTTGGAGAAGGTTACATGCTGGATGGATTCAGCAGAGACGTGGCATGTTAAAGCTTTGCAGAGCTGGGAAAAGCGCAGTGTGCTGATCCAGGCACACCTCGGGCACTTCCAGGCAGGCAAGCAGTAAGTGATGCTGTAAACATACAATTGGAAATAGAATTATGGAATCATTTAGGTTGGAAAAGCCCTTTAAGATCGTAAGAGTCCAACTGTTCCCCCAGCACTGCCAAGGCCACCACTGAACCTCCCAAGTGGCATAACCACAGGGCTTCTAAATCTCTCCAGGGATGGGGACTCCACCACTGCCCTGGGCAGCTGTGCCAGAGCTGGATAACCCTTTCCATGAAGAAATTTTGCCTAATATCCAACCTGAAGCTCCCCTGGAGCAATTGATGGTGATGACTGGCCAGAGGCATTCCAGCATGTGCTGCAGGTCAGGCTGTAGGGATGGAGATGCGTCCCTGGTGCCTCCCCAGCTCCCCTGACAACAAGGCTTTGGTCCCAGCTGGATTTTGGCACTCTGTACATATTCCTCCGCTTTTTGACCTCCAAACTTTTGTTTTTAGACTGAGTTCATTTTCTAGCTTATATAGCTTTCTCCTCCTTGTGTTTGTCTGCCCTTGCACCCTCAGGCAGAGCTGCATGGAGGCAACACATCCTTCCCCTGCCTCTGGATTGCCACGATCCTTAACCCTGGCTTCACCCACATCCCTCCTGCTGGCTCTGGCTCCTTCACCCATGGACACCAAGGCTGACTCTCAGCTGTGCCTCTGCTCTCTCACCTCCCAGGTAGCAGCTTCTCTGCTTATCACCCTGTTGTTTTACTCTCCTAATCATTCCTGAGTCTCTGCTTGCTCCAAACTGGGAACTGAGAGCCCCGAGCTGCTGTTTGGGAATGAAAGGAAAAAGCAAAAGGTGCTGGGATCTGCAAACTGGTGGCGCTGGGAGGAGGCACTTCAGCTTAGGGTGTCTAATTCCCAGTCCCAACCACACGTGACAGATTACACGGGGCACAGGCAGCAGCCAGAGCCTCCCTGGGCCTAATGCTCTCCAGGACTTTATTGGGGAAGTTAAATAGGAAGAAAAAAACAAACACTTTTTATGCAACAAGGTGTCCCTGCCCACAGCAGGGGAGTGGAATGAGGTGGGCTTTAAGGTACCTCCCAACTCAAGCCAATATGGGATTCCATGATCAGGATGGAAGGGCAGGAGGAAGTGGCATCATCTGCATTGTCAGAATTGGATTTTTAACCAATATTTTTGATTATATCAAATAATGTATATCAAATTATATCAAATAATGTATCCTGGCTGTAAGACAGGACTCAAAGAGCAGTATTGCTCCCAAGCCCAAAACCGGGGGGATTTTCCATGTTCAAGTGGGGATGCTCCTCCTCCTCAGCTCCTACAAAGAAACCCTGCCTTGTGAAGGTATAACTCACACACAAACACTGCCAGCACAGGGATCAGCAGGAGAAAACCTTTATTTACATCGTTTGAGCAGTAGCAGAGCTGCAGCGATTCACCGGGAAGAAACTCCAGGAAGAAAACTCAGCTTGACATTCCAGGGGGGAGACCCTCCTCCCACCACACAGTATCTCAGGTCAGTACAAAATTGCTGTCACTTTACAAAAGGTCTAAGATTCACAGTTAAGTACCAAAGGGGAGGGTGAGGGGGATGGGAGGGATAGGACCCCATCCCTGCTGGAATTTGGTCTATGAAAATGCATCATACGACAAGTCTGGTAGAAAAATCCATCCCGAGGGCTGGACATGCACGGTCACGGGATTTCTACACCTACTATAGGGCTCAGAGCCTGGAAAAGAAGCACTCAGGTGGCTCTCCTGGGACAAAGGCATCTGCAAACACTGTCCTGCCACTGGACATTGCATGGGAGAAGTCTCTCTTCAGGAGGAATTTTGCAGGAGGGAAGGATGAGACACAAGAGGTGGGCAAGGCAAAACAGGGAGCAGCTCCTCTGCCTAGCATTCAGCCCTGGCAGAGCCACCCACCATGGCCAGGCTGCTTTTATAGCCTAAAAAACTGCACCCCACCCCCATCATCCCCTCCGCTCGTGCCCAATGCTGTTAGAAAGAAAACAGCACACACATTTTGGCTATTTCTAGATTTGTGTTAAAACCAGCCCAGACCTTCGTCTGAGGGTCATGGGAAAATCTAAAATCTTTCTTAAAGAGGATTTCATTGGGGGGTGGAAGATTTGTGGCCTCCCAGCAGGGGAGCTCCAGGGAAAAGGAAAGGCCCCTGGGGACGGCAGTGAAACCTGACAACCCCTTTGCTCCCACCTGGAAAATTCCCACCCAGAATGGGGTGGGAGCACTCCCCTGGCACTGCTTTCACCCACAGGCAGGTGATGAGCAGGTGGCACATGGGCAGTGACGGTGTTTGGAAGATGCCCCTTCTGGCTCCATTAATGGGAGAGCACCAGGACAAAGCTGGCTCTGACAGAGAGAGCAAACATCAGGAGCTCTTCCAACAGCACAAGGATAGAGGAGGCTCAGCTTTGATAAATAAACCTGGGAGTGTGCTGAAGTTTCACGTATGGAGGCCATGCATCCCTAAAAAAGCCACTCGCCCTCTCCCGCTGCAGGGCCACTCTCCAAGCAAAAGTAAACCCAGTGACAGTTCAGCAGCAGAAACGTGCCCATGCTGCTCTAATTAATCAAAGAGGTGGCAGGGAGTGACAGGTTTGTGCCCTCCTATGAGCACCCCTGGCAGACAGCTTGTCCTGCAGATCCAGCAGCTCCCTGCAGAGATCCCAAAAGACAATGCTAAAATTCAGCGCTTTTTGTTTGTTTTAAACCTTTAAAAATACACATCTTGCTTTTTTTTTTCTTAAATATATAGTCTATAAAATAAGGCAACTCGAGGAGACAAGGGGAATGTCCCCATTGCTTAGGTACTGCATCCCACCACCAAAGAGGGTGACAGTACTTCCAGTTGAGAAAAGTGACTCTGCCCGGCCCCAACACACTCCAATGGTGCTGTAAATCATGGGGAAACACCTCAGCAGCCCCTGGATGCATCCCAAGAAAGGAAGGATCTCTGGGGTTTTATGGATAGGGAGTCATTTCGCCGGGGATGCTGCAGCCACAGCAGGAACAGCTTAGGGAACCCCCATGGCCAGGAGACCTCAGGGACAAAGGCAGCACAGAAGATGGAACGAGTTGATTTCTCCCCAAAACTGAAGCACACATAAATCTTTGAGAGAAACTCTTATAACATGACTATCTTGTAGTATTAAAAGCTATAAACAAGGTAAGCACAAAGGAGTGCTACTCATTCCCAGCCCAGATCCTGCTCAGTCTCACAGCATTCCAAAAAACCAGACTATACAGCAGCTTTTTATAACATGGAATTCATCTGTCTCTATGGAAGGAGTACAAGTGTGTGTTTTTCCTCCAATGTTTTCCCTCTTTTATGTATATTAATGCTGGAAATGTGATCTTCACATCTCTGAGCTTTGTAGCATACACGTTTTCCATGTTGCTCCCCAGTTCCCACTGGGCTAAGTGTTGCTTTCTAGAGCTTTATTTCTCTAAGAAATAAATTTAATATAAAATAATTTATAGGAAAGAAAACTCAACCTAGAGAGTACTCAGCAGTAAATAGTCCTGTGGAGCAACAGGATGGCACATTGTAGGCTCAAACAGGGACTGGGGGTTGGAAGGGGGTGGCAAGGACACCATGGCAAGCTGTGTAAACCTGGAATGATCATTACCTGGGTCTGCATCACTGATCCATGATGGACCATAGGCAGGAATAATTTATAGCCTCAAAAGAGGAAAAAAACCCTTATTCTAACAAACCTGACCTTATAAACAAAGATCTTTTCACCCTGACACTGGCTATACTGGTACCCACCAACGGCACCCAGTACACCGTCACCTAATCTGAGCACAGCCCTGGCACTGCACAGAGGAACCAAATCCATGGTGGAGTGAACTCCTGGTCCTTGGCACAAGTGTTTAGTTCTCCTCGTCCGAGAGAACAGGTGGGATCTTGCTGGACAGCAGGGTGTACACGTAGGGCCAGATTTTGTTGGTCTCAGTGCCCGAGAAGGAGTGAAGGATGCCTCTGCTCCTGGAAAGAGATGGGAGAAGAGGTCAGCACCAGCCTTCCTGCGGACAGGGGTATCCACAGGCAGGTCGGACGGGGCTTGGAGCAACCTAATGGAAGGTGTCCTGCCGATGGAACAAGATGGTCTTTAAGGTTCCTTCCAACCCAAACCATTCCAGGATTCTGTGATTCTCCCCCCTCTCCTGCAAGGGTGATTTTGGCCCCTCAAGGACCACTTCTGCACTTAAAAACACTCCCAGGATCTCGCACCTTTTCAGCAGTGGATTGTCACCCTATGTTAATCCATCTATTCCCAAGTTGGCCATGGCACAACTGCTCCAAACTACCAGGGGACAAGCCCTGAAACACTCCTCTGCTCCCAGCAGACCCATCTGAGCCAGCGCCGGAGTCTTGCCCTTCTCCTGCCCTCTTGCCAACCACCCCCATGTTCCACTCAAACCCCTCAGGGCCCTGGACTGATTTTTGCATGGCATGGACCACCCTGGATCTGTGCCTTCTGTCACAGCCAAAATATGCCTCCCATTGCCAGCCCTGGCAAAGCTCTGTATGGAGCCCAGCAAGACAAACAGGAGTTGTGAATTCCTTTAGATCAACCTACTCCCTCCAAGGGAGGCCCCTCCAGGGCCAGGGCTTGGCTGCAATGAAGGGCTGGGCTTGTGCTGTTGAGCACAGTGATCTGCATCCCAAAAATCTATTGGGGCTGTGCCGGGGCTCCTGGGGCTGTGGGGATGTGGGCACAGGACTGGGCTGGCGAAACAGCACTTGGGCCTGTTTTTACAGGCATGCTGTGATTTTTTTCT